ATTTATATATAGGCATTAAAATATACAACTAGTTGCATACGCATGATAATATATATATATATACCTGTACATATACATATATATACATATATATACATACATACATATATATACACACATACAAATATTTGACAGGTCAAATAATTCAAACAGGTTTTTTTCTACTTTCCTTACGTACACTCATTCTTTCCTCTTCCTCATTTATCGTTTTTTTATAATTCTAATTCTCTATAATTAACAAATAATAAAGATATGCTTTATGAAATTCAACTTACCACGTAAGAAAATTTCTAACGTAAATTACTTGTATACATGTATGTATCTATGTATGTATACATATATATAATCTAATATTATGCATCTTTTCAATACAATTTTTTACAGTTTAACTTCCACCATATAGAACAGTACAAAACGATAGATTTCCCTTTTGCAGCAATATTACTTTCATCGCCATAGAATGTCATAAAACTGCAGCGATAAAAGGAAATACATCCGCACTTGACTGTCTGTGGTATTACAATATGTAAATACGTGTATGTTTACATATACATACAGAATATTGAGTAAATTGTGATATAATCGTCGAGATTTCTCGTGAATAAAACTAAATAAAATATCCAAAATAAATTTTTGTTATTGATCTCTTAGTCTTTGAGAAATGATTCGTACAAGGATGATTACTTTTATACATTTAAAACCGATATTCTCATATAATCAATAAAAAATTTATTATACACAGCTTTTATTCCTTCATAGGATATTAATTTTCCGACATGCCGCGATTTATTGGAGCACACCTAAGCCAGTTAGTCATCATTGCCAAAATGAAAAATTTTACTTATGTATATATACTCACACACGTATACTGCAGTTATATATGTATATATATGTATATATTTATAAATACACGAGGCGGCTACCCCATTATTTAATCTATCATAGTCCACTCTCGTGTTCAGAAAGGCATACCAACTTGAGCAGATATATCATAATTTGTGTCTTTGGAAGATTGACATTACGCAAAATGCACGCTTTTGCATATAAAATCCTATCTTATGTAATTGTCACTACATATGCACACTTTCATTAAACTCAAAGCTGAAGGTAATCTATAACTCGTGTCATGCATTATAATCGACGTCTTCCTTTTTTTTTGTACAAACTCGTTCTAAAAATAAGTGCAATCTTTCTCGTGGAGCATTGTGTTTATATATAAACTATTTTCAAAAACATGCATATACGCACGTAAATAACTTTCTTGTGTCTTCGGGTGTTTTCCAGCACAATGTACATAAACGATACTGTGTATGATTCTGTACTTTCCAACTACATTATTTTTCGATAGGATACGCTATGTTACATTTGATGCTTTCCAGCTACACAAGCAACACTGTGTAAGACTGTGCACGATTCGACTATGCTTTCTAACTATGACATAAGTTGACACAATTGTACAGAGCTAAATAGGTGAGTTTGAGTGTGTCGATACTACAGTATATGTTTACTATAGTATTTCTCTAGTTTTGGGATACTCTTTAAGAATAGGGGCCTTGACCGTACATGCACTGTTACACACGTGTTGCCTATGTACGTAGCTGAAAAGCACTAAATATAACATAGTGTCCTATCTGGAAAACAAAATAATTGGAAAGCACAGAACCTGTGTTACGCTTATGTACGTTGCTGAAAAGCAACCTCATTTATAGTATTTGTAGACTAGGTGAACGGATTAATATGGGGCAGCCTTTGTGAGTATATATCCATTTTGTATTTATAAACTCTCTTTGCATAACATGATGCTGCCATAGACTTCGGATTTTCAGAATTATATAATGGGTGAGTCAGTGGGCACAATTGTGTGTCTGTATAAAACATTTAAAACACTGTAACACCCAGATGTTTTGCAAAGTGTACCGTTGATTAATATTTGATTAGTAAGCCGTCCATTCAGAAATACCTGTACTGCTTGTTTATATTACATTCGTTCGCAAAATATGGCTCGTGAAATAATATCGAAATTATCTTTTCCAAAATGACAAAATTCTCCTTGTTTTGAGATCTATTTCTCCATAGTATTATAATTTTGATCGGTATTCTACTAGTTACAAATCATTCGCTCTCAATTATATATAATGTATCCAAAATATTTACAACTTTGCTAGCAGGTCTTTTACGCATTCCCGCTGTTTTATTTTTAATAAAAACAAATCTCCTAACGTGATATAGGAGATTTTTCTTTAAGCTAATTCTTTTGCTGCATATTTCAGCCATATTTAACGTTCTCAACTAATCTGGGCTATAACTGGCACCAGGAACAGACCTATGTGGAGACTCAATCACTTTCTGGACCGCCTTCTTTTTCACCTTCACCATCTCCTTCTTCTCGTGTCATGCCTTCAATTGGTGCTGGAGTATCTTCTATGTTTGTAACGCTATTCGTTGGCAGTTGACCAGAGTCAGGTGGCACTGAAGGTGGACCATTCTGTGCAGCGCCTTGCGGGAATCCTGTTTCAGCTGATACTAAATGCGATGGCATATGTGGCGAGGCCGTTTGTGACTTTCTGCTTTTCTCACCTTTCCTCCATAATGTAATTTCCTGAACAAAATACAAAAAGCAATGGTAAAATGAAGATAGAGTGATAAAAGAAATAATGCATATAATAATATTTTTATCTTGAACATGTAAAAAAGAAGTATAACTATCGAAAGTTTAAAAAACAATATATACAAATTTACCTGTTGCTTAAAGTATCGCCGATCTTCTTCGTCCATGAGAACCAAATTCAGATAATATCTAACACTAAACTTCTTATTAATGTCGCGCATTGTAGGGGCCAAATCATACCCAGCCAAGAATACCCTTATGGGAATGGATTCCCCTCGAACGGGCGCACCATCCATAATCTCATATTTCGCTATAGTTTCGTTTTCAGTAAACGTATGAGGACCTGCAAATATGTACTCTAATTATTGCCTTAGTACCGTGAATACCGCAGAGAAAAAGTTCTTAGGAAACCAAAACTCGCGTTCCAATTTTGTCAACATGCAATGCTACATGTGTACAAAACTGTTTAGAAATCATAATTAATTACTATCGCTACATTATATTTCAATGTGTGAATTATCTATAACGTACCAGAACCCGTAGTTTCTCGTTTGATGATTGCTATCTCCATATGTTTTATTTTTATTCTAACCAAAAGAAAGTATATTTTGCCAACAATTACATCTTTTAAATGATATCTGAAAAGATGAATAGCAGCAACATGTTCAGAAAATCAACTATTAAAACAATCCAAATACATGTATCACAATAACTTACTTGCTTTTATTATATTCAAATTCGATATGCAAACAGTCTTCAATTCCAACTTCCATTTTAATGGGATTATTCATGTCTGGATAGGAACTAAGAGTATGCACAACTAATTCAAGTTCTTTAACAATATCACTAATCCTTCGTACAATTGTCACTTTCAAGAAATATCTTAGTCGTACATTAGAACCGGTGTAACTCTCAAATGGTTTCTCAACATTTGGAAATTCAAATGTATATACCGTATTGTGTGTTAATTCCCCTGGCCTTGCTAGTTCTTTTACCAGGCTCGTAAATTCGTGATGGTTACCTCTGTCGTAATATAGCTCAATTTGTCCAATAAATTCTACTTTGACACCATGATGCTCTAATTTTCCAGCTTTCCTTAAGCTGATATTAATCTGCAAGTATTGATTTAGTAACAAATTTATACTGCAAAAGCATAACACAGTAAAACATTATAAAGTATTAAAAAGAATATGTTACAAATAAATTAATACAGAGCTCAAAGAACTACTACAAGATAATAGCATCTGCGAGATATATTTCTCTGTATAATCCAACCTTGGCAAAAAAATATTAAATGTCTTATTAATTTTAAGTTTATTTAAAGTTTCAGTGCAAAAATTGATTGATTGGTATTTGCTTATTCTTAATTTCAAGAATCCTTTAAACTCATATTATAACTGTACCACTTTATCATATAAATTAATAAGTCATATTTTAACTTTAATAAAATAATACATATTTTTGAATAACTGATAATTTTTGCTAGATATACTATATTATAAATGAAAAGTCTATGCACATTGGAAACGCAATATTCATTACAGTTTCATTGGACAAAAAGCAAGCCTAGTGCACTAAACATATCGCATGCAAGTATGTTAACATTGGATTTTTATCAAATCACAATTAGATGATTAATAATCAAGTTGACGTTCCAAGGAGCGGGTCCTACCTTGCCGGACACGGTCTCGCCGTCGTAGTAAAGCAGGTGCCGCTCCTTCTTGCCATCCTCGGACTTGATGTCCGCAGTTTTTCGCGTCTCAGCGCCGTCCAACGTGATCTCTATGTCGGCGGACTGACCGAAACCAAAGAAACTCTACGTAAAAAAATTCAAAAGCGTTAGAAAAATCATGTAGAAAATCAACAGCCGGGAGATGACAACCCGGCGCCGATCAAAGTCTCGGGTTACGGTGGGCCACGGTGGGCCGAGGACTGCACCCCCGTGGGAGGTAAACGTACCATTTTCTAGGACAACTTTTGTGGAAACAGTGAGATACCCCGATGCAATGCCGCAGTCACGCTGACAGGATCGGCCGTATCGCGGATCAATGAACAATTCTCCAGAGCAACATTTTCTTACGTGTACGAGAGACGTGAAAAGTTGGGTTATTTTTTTGCTCGTTCCTCCCGAAAGTCACAAGTAGCCAATATGGCCGCGCGCACGCGCCCCCTTCCCCCCCTTACCCCTCCCGCTTGTATGCGCTGTCAAAATTCGCCGGTGGCGCGCGCGCGGCGAGATCTTTTTCTATATAGGGATATAGGAAGTCTAGTGTAAAATTGCGAAATACCGATGGAGCACACCTGAGGCTCGTGAATTCGGGTCGGTAAGATCGGTCTTCATTTTTATCAATTGGGCTTAACTATATGAACTCTTCAGATGGCGCTTATTTTCATGGATAGATTTGTGCACATGGTTCTAATCTGACAGGCGAGGAAGAGAAGAAGAGAGGACATAAATTTATGTGGAGTGTTGTTGATTAATATGGTTTGATTTGCTTCTTCTTGGCCTGATATGCCTACTCGCGAGTCTCGGAAATAAAACAAGTATCTATGTATTTTTGTTTGCAAGCCACGCTGTTGTACATATCCTTCGTGCTGCACGCTTTTCGTCGCTCGATCATATAAGCGAAATCCGAAAAATCTCACACGCACGCTCGTGCACGCGTTTCTTCGATGCTGTGATGCGAAATGTTATGATGGCAGGCATCACACGTTATTCTTCACGGACGCGTGTCATTACACCGTGATGTAAGTACTTGTTTTAGCCGGTTGTACATCTTTCCTGAGGAAGAGAAAGGAAGATTCCTGAAGCCTTAATGTTTATCGTCTCTGATACTCTGCATTCTCATCTGTGGCTGTTTAATTATTGCTTTGATGTTATCGCGATAAATGAAAATGTAGACGATTATCTTGACATTAGAGAGATCTTTGGTCCGAGTAAGTATGAGCTCCGGGCTATTTAGCATAAAAAGTGTTATCTCAAGTGCCTGATTGACATTGTTGCAATATCAGCATTTTTTTTTTTCAGGTATGTGATTGTAAATTTTCGTGTGTACAAAGGTAGAGGTATCAGTGATTACCCTTATGTCTTATAAAAAATATAATTGTTCAGTGAAGGGCAGTTTCAACGATGGATTGCGATTACATGACCTTTTACAGGGAGAAAGACTTTCATAATAGATGCTGCGGTGGAAAGCTCTGGTGTATTAAGGCAAAGTTTTATGAATATATGGATGATTTCTGATGTTTTTTAAGAACTTTGATTAACTTAAGTGATAATTAATTTATCAGTAATACTTGTATTATTTTGTTAATGTATATGAGACAACTAATCCTTTTATTTTGCGATATATCAAAAGATTAAATTAGGAAGGACTTATATAGTTAGCAATTTTGTTAAGCAATTTTGCCGATTAATTATCAATTAAGTTAATTACAGTTTAACGAGGTTGTTCTGATATCGTTATAATTTTAACATAATGTCCATATTTATAGGATATATGTGGAATCATATGTGCAGTATTAACATGGCTATTGATAATCTATGCAGAATTCGTAGTGATGGCAGTGATTCTTATTCCTACAATAAATACATTGTATTCCAGTTTAAATATGGCCATTTTCCAATCTTTAGCATTCCTGGCCTTTGCGTCGCATCTAAGAACCATGTTTACAGATCCGGTAATTAAGATAACGCTGAAATCTAATTTATTGCTTGAGATTTAGCTTATATTATGTAACGTAAGTTAAACATTTTTTTAAAACTGATATTTTGTTTTTATGCAGGGTGCAGTGCCGAAAGGCAATGCAACGAAAGAGATGATCCAACAAATGGGATTTAGAGATGGACAGGTTATTTTTAAGTGTCCAAAATGTTGTTCTATTAAGCCCGACAGAGCTCATCATTGCTCTGTTTGCCAAAGGTAATTTAACAAAAAAGTCAAATTTGTGTTTGGAATGTAGCAGGGTAATGCATTTTGTTAATTAATAATGTAATTGTGCTGCTATTGTAGATGCATCAGGAAAATGGATCACCATTGTCCATGGGTTAATAATTGTGTAGGGGAAAATAATCAAAAATACTTTGTACTTTTTACTGTGAGTATTTCATAAAGCGCATGCACATGCTACGATTTAGGTTTTTACAAAAAATGAATGATTCTAATATTTTACATAAATAAATAAATATATATATATATAAAAAAATATATATATATATATATATATATATTGAATATATTTTGTAAAATATCTTAAATGTACTTTTCTTATCACATTTTAGTTTTATATAGCGGGCATATCATTGCACTCTCTATTTCTGTGTGTACAACAATTTACCATGTGTGTCAGACAAGAATGGAGAGAATGTTCCACGTTCAATCCACCAGCAACGGTGGTGTTATTGTTATTTCTAGCATTCGAGGCACTTTTATTTGCCATTTTTACTGCTGTAATGTTAGGCACGCAACTGCAAGCTATTTGGTATGATGAAACTGTACGTATACAAAACAATTATTTCTTGCGTATATAAAAAAAATTGCGATTTATATTTATTGTACTATTATCTGTTGCAGGGTATAGAACAACTTAAAAAGGAGGAAGCTCGATGGGTTCGCAATAGTAGATGGAAATCGATTCAAGCAGTTTTTGGAAGATTTTCGATAGCTTGGTTTTCCCCCTTTACCTCACCTCCTAACGCAAAAACGAAATTAGATTCTTATCTATATTCTGTTTAAATTATATTTTGATATGTATAACCATGACCTACATATAGAGGAATACTTAAGGTAAGTATACATAAATACTATAATGATGTTCGATTAGTATACAGGCTGATTCCTGAAATTGCGGACTACAACTCTTCTTTTAAATGAAGAGAAATGATACAAGAGAATTTTGCGTAAATTGTGCAGAATTATTGTATTTATAAGAAAAAAATTATGTTTATAATATATTGAAAATCTTGTATAATCTTGGGTAATCAAATTTTTATACGTCAGTTTTTAGATCTTTGTTTATAAAAAAGAAATATTTTTTTGTGATAATAGCTGTATTGACGATTAACAATTTGCAATATTTAATATAAATATAGTTAACTATCATAATTGACTATTTACATTTTTTGTAAAGATTTTATTTATTATATCGCTTTATTTCATATATCAGCGAATTTCGTACATATATATAGCCACATACAAAACATAAGAGATAAGAGGTAAATGGGATATAAAATATATATATTTAATATAAATAATATATATTATTTATATATACTATAAGATACTATATATAATATATACTAATACATTATATACATAGGGTGCGTTCCGAATTAGAAAGCGCATGATGCATCATTTATCTTTGTTGAATAAAGAAAGATAAAATGATACGCTTTATATGTTAACGGAACGCATTCATAATAAATATATATGTACGAAAATGTATATTTACATTTTTTTTGCGAAATATTTGTAATTTTCTACTGGTATCCAAATATTGTACGAATTTTTTGCTATGACAGCATTAGGAAAGTACTTAAAAAGTAACAATCAGAGTCGAATTTACTCTATCTATATCTTTAGGTGTAATGATATTGAAATGTTGTATAAATTTTAATTTCAGAGAGATATAAGATTCTATTACATATATTTGAAAGAAAGAAGTTTTTTTTGTATTTATTTAGTGCTTTAATCTTTTCATATTATGTTTGGTACATTTCGTAAAAAATTAATAAAAAACGTAAAAAATTAATGCATTTTAATATAATACATTGCAAAATGAACTATCATTTTTAAAAAATATTGTTAAATTTTAAATTTGCTTGCTCATTAGTATAGGTAAAGTCGACTTTGACAACTATCATGTTACTTTACCCAAAGAAATGTAATATCTTTTTAAAGATAAAACGTATTTTAGTCATTATTCATATGAAAGAAAAATGTAATCCATATATATATATATATATATGGATACACATATTATGAAATTGTACATTATTATAACGAGTAATAGAAATGGTTCTTTGACATCTTTATTTTCTATGGAGACTGAGAATTATATTTTATATTTACATAACATATAAAAATGTAAGTGTGCCATACACACATAGAAGAGAGATAATGTCGCAAATTTTTTGTATCATTTATTGCATATCTTGTAATCATAACAAAAATATTTTATGTCACAAAATCTCGCTTTCTATTTACATCGAATTACATATTTGTAAGAAATAATAAAGATTGATCTTCAGGGATGAATTGAAAAAAAGCTTGATGATTATATCCTTTACTCAAGTAAATTCAAAATAAATAAAATATGAATAAAATAAAGAAATGAACAATAATAAGTGAACATCGACCGATGTGTAAATAACACAAATAAGCGAAGATGACCTTATTCGATCAAAGCGATCGAATCTCGGTGCCTAACAATAGTGAAAAAAAAAAATAAAATTAAAAAAAAATGATCGTGTTATTCACCTCTTTATGCCTTGAACGTTTTAAACGCGAAACACAAAAAGATTTTGTCTAAGCATGTATGACGGATTAAATGAATTTCATCTTTTTTAAATCTGAGTTTTTCCTAGGATAATTAATTCGCATCTCGCTCCATACATTCACATAATTTCATTCGAACTCACGAGAGCTCTAGCTAGCGATGTTCCCTTGTTAGTCGTGTACTTGCAAACAAGATTTCCCTGCTTGACTTGGAAACGAGCGATCAGTCGCGCGGCGATACTACTGGCCGCTATTAGGAAAAGGATTGCCGATAATTAGCATTTTAATTTGTAGGAGTGATTTCTCCATATCGCTTTCTAGCTTCGCTCTCTACGAATGGATAAATATATTTTATATCAGAAATACATTATAAGAAATTAAATTTCCCGATCCGACAACAACCGCGTAATGCAATGCAAAATGCATTAAGCGCGAGTTCAATGTCACGACTCCATAAATTTATCTGTCCGGACAACTTTATTTTTGCTGAAAGTAAAAGCTTGCATCAATAACGGTGACTTGCGTTATTAATCTTTTATTGAATGTTGCAATATCTTCAATCTCTATTACTTTATTATTTTAATTTCTGATCAAAAATATTATATTGAGTTATATAAATTAATGTATCAATTATTAATATATGTATAAATGTATTTATATAAATTTGTTAAAAACTTGATATATATACATAACATTAATATTTGTATTATATTTAACATGATTAATATATAATATCAAATAATAATCTTTTAGATAAAATTGTTATATTTGATTTTTAAGTTTCTGATGGAACTATTCAAATTATTTTTATTAGTTAATATCATTGATATAATATTTTTAATATATATATTATAAAATGTGAATA